AGTTATTCAAATCTTCAAACTACTGTAACTAATATATATGTAAAAATATATATGTAAATACATATATATATATTTACAAGATAAAGCATCTATGTATCTATGTAGAGTGCTTCTATTAAAGCTTTTTCTGTGTGAGTCTATAACACAAACATTTCTGTAACTGAGACCATTTTAAAGTGCACCCATTTTCAACTACTAATATAAGTATAAATTGTAAAGCTCTTAAAAAAATAAACAACCTTGTGATGAAATTTAGTTTGTAACATAGACTCATACTACTGCATTTTTAAATCTATTTTAATTCTATCTAGAATTTTTACCATTGGCTTTTTACCTGAAGATTCAAATTGTGTTTACATCCTTGGGGAAATCAGACTGTGTAGCTAGCAGAAATAGAAATAAGTAAATAAATCAGAATATGTAGAAGATAAAGTTAGATAAGGCCTGAGGTATTTCTTCAAACATGGCTAAAATGAATCACTCTTTTCTACACTAATTAACAAGCAAGTTACAAAGTAGCTTTTGGGATGTACGATCAAAAACTTTTAGTAGTCCACTAGCCTAAAACAATTGTACGTGAAGAAGGTAGAAATACTTAAGAGTACCTATTCGATCTAGTCGGTCAATGGCAACTGTCTCAAAAGCTCTCCTCATCATTGGATATTCCTCCAGGACCTCATTGAAATTGTCCACTGAGAGTGAGTAAAGACGACAGTATGTATCGGCTCGAACACTGGCTGTGCGGCGTCCCTTGGTTAGGAGACAAATCTCTAAAGAAAAAAAAAAAGGAAAGAAAGACCCTTTTAGTAATTTTCTGTTAAAGGCCATTAGAACTTCCCAAAATAATAACAATAATTATAATAGTCTCATGATGTGAGAAACCATGATTGGCAACACTTTTTCTATTTTATCAGGGAATATTTTCTGATAATTAAAACTATCCAAATGAAAATACTCAACTTAATATTCTTAGTAGGCACTCTGGTGGCATAGTACCTAAGGCATGTGACTGCTAACAGGAAGACTGGAAGTTCAAATCCACCAGCCACTCCTTGGAAGGAAGGTTGGGCAATCTACCTCCATAGTGATAGTGCCTCAGAAACCCAAGGAGGGGTCGCTATGAGTCAGATCTGATTCAGTGGCAGTGCGTTAATATTCTTTTTAAAACAGGATTTTGGATCAAAATGGAAGGCAGAAGAGATAATCTATTACTAAACCTCACTCCAGTGCCCCTGAAATAACAAAAAGATGCAGAAAAGGGGATAATAAATTCACAATGGAATTGAAAATAGGAAAGGTATATAATTGATCATGGGTTTTTATGAATACTGAAAAGCAGAAAGCAGATGATATCGTATTGACAGAAATAAAAGTAAGCCCTAATCCAAATAATGTATAGAAGAAGCAGAAATTCCTAGAGCAAACAGGAACCAAGCTCAGGGCTGAAAGATCTGGGAAATAACTTGGGAAGTAGTATGGTAAAAGCCCTGGCCATTGAATAGGTTATGAATCTTAGTGACCCTGTAGGACAGACTAAAACTGCCCCACAGGGTTTCTGAGTCTGTAGTCTTCATGAAGGTAAACTGCCACACCTTTCTCCTGTAGGGTAGCTGGTGGGTTTCAACTGCTGACTTTTTAATTAGCAGCTGAGTGCTTTACCACTGCACCAATAGGACTCCTTGTACAATGTGCACATACCTAGCTCTTGGCTTCAATGTTTTACTCAGTGCTAAAATCAGGAAAGTTATGGGTCAGGATTGTATCTTTTCACCATACTTAATTAATCTGTATGCTTAACAAATAATCTGAGAAGCTGGGATATATGAAGAAGAACATGGCATTAAGATTGGAGGAAGCCTCATTAACAACCTGTGATATACAGATGACTTGAAGTACTTACTTATGAAGATAAAAGATTATAGCCCTCAGTATGGATTACACTTAACATAAAGAAAACAAAAATCCTCACAAGTGGACCAACAAGCAATATCACAATAAGTAGAGAAAAGACTGGTTTTATTTTACTTGGATTCACAATCAACACTCATGGAAGCAGCAGTCAAGAAATCAGATGACATATCTCACTAGGCAAATCTACTTTAAGAAAAATATCTCTTTAAAGAACTAAAGAGCAAAAATGTCATTTTAAAGACTAAGGTACCCCTGACCCAAGCTACACTATTTTCAATTGCCTCATATGCATATGAAAACTGGACAATGTTATAAGGAATATTGAAGAACTGATGCCTTTGAATTGTGGTGTTGGTGAAGAATAGTGAAAAAACCATGGACTGCCAGAAGAATGAAAAAATCTGTCCTGGAAAAAGTGGAAATGGAATGCTCCTTAGAAGCAAGAATGGCCAGATTTCATCTCACCTACTTTGGTCATGTTGTCAGAAGGGACTAGTCCCTGGAAGAGAATATTATGCTGGGTAAAGTAGAGGGTCTGTGAAAAAGATGAAGATGCTTAATGAGATGTATTGACACAGTATTGTTTCACGTATGTATTTTGGAGTATTGCTGTAGGTGTATGTTGTTGTTGTTGTTATGTGCCGTCGAGTCAGACCCAACTCATAGCAACTCCTCCTTGGGTTCCCAAGGCGGTATCACTATGGAAGTAGATTGCCCCATCTTCCTTCTGAGGAGTGGCTGGTGGGTTTGAACCGCCAGCCTTCTGGTTAGCAGTCAAGTGCCTTAGGCACTATGCTACCAGAGCTCCCATCATAATAAAAAATCATGATGACGAATTACTCAATTTTGCTTTTATCTAAAGATATAACTGATCATTTAAATTTCCATATAGATAGTCCTACTTGCACAATTATTAGCTCCCTCCAGCAAAGCTCATGTCAGATATTTTTTAGGGTTTTTTAGATCATCTGAATTTATTGCCTTGTCAAACAAATGTTAGATCTCCCCCCAAAGTTTGATGATTTCATCTCTCTTCAAACATGAATCATGATGATCATTTAAGGCTCTGAATGACCTAGTCAAAGGAGGTAAGTAGTTTCACTTGCTGGCCTTCAAATAAAATTAAATAAATAGGCGAACAAACAAGTAAGTCACTGTTAAGTACATAAATAGTAATAAAAAGACTCAGTCACATATTTACAAAACAAGCTCCAAAGCTACCCATGTTCTCTCTTTGTAACATAACACCATCAAGGTGAAGTCATATCTCTATCTGCACATACAAGATGTAAGGAAGAACTCTACTACACCTTTGAATCTGATTTGGGTTAAACTTCTAGATTTTGAGGACTGCTTTTGATTGTTGTTGTTGTTGTTAAATGCCAACAAGTTAGTTGCAACTCATAGTGACCCTATTACAACAGAATGAAACAGTGCTGGGTCCTGTGCCAGCCTCACAATTGTTCTTATGCTTGAGCCCATTGTTGCAGCCACTGTGTCAATCCATCTCATTGAGGGTCTTCCTGACTCTACTTTACCAAGTGTGAATCCTTCTCCAAGGACTCTACTTTACCAAGTGTGACTCTACTTTACCAAGTGTGAATCCTTCTCCAAGGACTGATCCCTCTTGACAATACAACTAAAGTATGAGAGATAAAGTATTATCATTCTAGCTTCTAAGGAGCATGCTGTCTGTACTCCTCCCAAGATAGATTTGCTTGGTCTTCTGGTAGTCCATGATATATTCTATATTCTTTGCCAACATTACAATTTAAATGCATCAATTCTTCTGCACTCTCCTTTATTCATTGCCCAGCTTTCACATGCGTATGAGGCCACTGAAAATACCATGGCTTGAGTCAGGCACACCTTAGTCTTCAAAGTGAAATCTTTGCTCTTTAACACTTTTTAAGAGGTCTTTTGCAGCAGATTTGCCCAATGCAATACATCATTTGATTTCTTGACTGCTGCTTCCCTGGGCATTGATTGGGGATCCAAAGAAAATGAAATCTCGACATCTTCAATATTTTCTCCATTTTCATGTTGTTGCTTATTGGACCAGTTGTGAGGATTTTTGTTTTCTTCATGTTGAAGCGTAATCCATACTGAAGGCCTAGTCTTTGATCATCATCAGTAAGTACTTCAAGTCCTCTTCACTTTCAGCAAGCAAGGTTGTGCTATCTACACATTACTGGTTGTTTTCCAAATGCTCTGAGAAAGAACATGACTGACAAAAGAGTTTAAAAAAAACAATATTGTTTTTCACATGCTGGCTTTTTAAAATACAAATTATTTAAAACATCATAATTAAAATTTAACACAAATAAAAATGCAAAGTATAATTAAACAGAATATTCACAGATTTGGGTGAAAAATATACAAATGGAAATTATTCTATCTCTTACTAATCTGTGATTGCTATCTTTAACTGCTTATTTTGGCTTTATCTTATGATTTGAATATAATTGACACATTTCAATCTTGTCACTTCTTATCAATGTTCTTCTGAGTGTGTGCCATAATGCTTATAGATGGTAAAACCTCTATTGATTGTTTTCTCAAGTCTCAGATCACGTACTCAGGTTCTCTACTATGACTGTCTATTTCTTCACCAAAGGCAAAATTTTAAGAACACAAGAGAGAGAAAAAATAGAAAGAATTATGAGTCGTTTCAGTAGTGATGCTGCTGATCTGCCTGTTTATTTTCCTTTTCCTAAGAGTCTCTGTCTTTCCTGCTTTGAGGAGGCCTCACACTACCTCTCCTCTCTAGCTTTTACTTTATATCTGTATGCATCAGTGTCCTTCAACTATGAAATAAAGTTAAGATTTATCTTATGGGATACTTGAATTCTATCTCTGTAATCCTCCGAGTATCTGTTGTGGAGGTAGGACACAATCACTGCTAGCCTAATGTAGCCCTTGTGACATACACAAGATTAATGGGATCTATTATATGATTGGGATAAAAATCACATGAAAATAATCAAAACTAAGAAGAGTAAGACCAATTTTCCAGCTTCTATACAGAATTGAAAATCTACTGTTGCTATTGTTATGTTGTTA